CAATTTCTGGTACGCTGATGATGGGAATCCGTGAAAAACCTGCAAATGCTTAAAGCGAAGATGCGCGGCGCTAAGGCAAGAACCGCGTTTTGAAAATGACCCGCCCTCAATCCGTAAAACTCTTTGCAAACCTTTGGAACGAATAAATATGCGCGGCGCTAAAGCGAGAGCCACATGTTGAAAATGACCCGCCCTCAATCCGTGCAACTCTTGCAAATGTTTAAACCGAATGTGCGCGGCGCTACGGCGAGAGCCACAGTTTGAAAAGGAACCGCCCTCAATCCGTGAAAATATTGCAAATATTCAATTTTCGAAAAAATCCGCGGCGCTAAGACGAGAGCCATATTTTGAAAACGACCCACCCTCGATCTGTGAAACTGTTGAGGAAATCTCAGGCGACACGCCCGGCCCGCCCTAAAAACTGGCCTTGGGGTGCGACAGGGAGGAGTTATTTAAAAGGAAAAGACATGGAGGATGATGGGTCGCCAAAGCCCTTCGGAGAAACCCTCCAGGTGCCAGCCAGCTCGTGCCTGCGGCGCAGGAGCCGGGGCTCGGAGTAAGGGCAAGGAGGCAAGGTCGCCGCGCCGCGCCGTCTCTTCGCAGCACGCGGTGGCACGCCTGCAGCTTCGCCCGGGCCATTGCCAGGTTCAGCGCGATTTCCCGATCAGTGCTTGCACTGAAGGGGTCCTAGCAGAAATTCCCAACTTAGTGCTTGCACTGAAGGGGTCCTAGCGGAAATTGAAAGCTTTGGCGAAAATTTCCCGCCGATTTTGGTGGCTGGCTGGGTTCCCAGGTTCCCGGCTCCGAGTGCCCGGGTTCCTGGTTATTGATTCCGGACCGATTTCGGTGGGTTCCGGGTTCCCGGGTTCGATCTCCTTATCCATCTCTTTATCGATCCCACGATTCATTATCGATCTCATGATCGATCTCAGTATTATTCATCCCACTCCATCGAGCTCATCATCGATCTCATCAAACCGTCCACTGATTGGGGTCTTTGCTCTGGTGTACTCACTTCGCTTCCGCCTCCCATCGCCGTGGCGCGCACCTCCCTGTAGCTGCGCTCCACACGGCTTCCCCGCGCCACCCCCGGTGAAGCTCGGGCCCCGAGAGGATCTGGCTCGCCTCGCGAGCACAGGGGCTCCGCGAGCCTGGGCCCGCCGACCTCGACCGGCGCCATGCATAGCCTCCCAAGGCCGGCGTCGGGCACACCGCTCTCGACCTGGTAGGCGTAGTTCTCCCCGCCGCGCCGAGTCGCGCAGCCCCCTCCAGCCCGCGGGCCACCTCGGCGATCCTGTGCCGGATGACCTGATGATCGGCGAGCCTCCTGCCGAGCGTCTTTCGCCGCCTCGCGAAAGAGATCGAGCCCTCGACGCATATACGCGTGAACCTCAGCATCTGCACGGTGGGTACAAAGCGCTCGTGGTCGAGGTTGATCATCGCGTACCTGCCCGTTGCTCGCGGGAGCCCTCACGCAGTCGAGCTCGATGTAGGCTGCGTTAGATGCCCACCAGCTGTGCGTCTGCCTGCGCCGCGTGGTGATCCCAGGCGTGCCTCGGTCGATCACCAACATGCTCGCGCCCTCGCGGCCCTCTCACGTGGCTCTGGTACAGACCAGCACCAGCACCATGAAGAAGTCGGCCTGCATGCGTCCAGTTATCGACTTCTTCGCACCGCTCACGGCGCAGAAGTCGCCCTCACGCACTGAGTGCCGACGGCAGCCGCGTCGGAGCCACCCCCGGGCTTAGTCACGCACTAGCAACATGAATTCTCGCCTGTGATGCAGGGCCAGGCCACGCGCTCCTTCAGCGCGTCGCGACTACAGTCGAGGACGGTTGGGGGGCCGATACTCGTCGCCCCGAAGAGCCGCACCTCGCCAGCTCGTCCCAGAGGATGAGTTGGGAAGCAACTCCTGGGACGGCTTCGTAAGAAGGATGAAGGGCTACCGAGCCAGATTAAATGCCCAGTTGGCCAGATCAAGTAAATGAGCCCAAGAGTAAGCCTGGGATTAAGCCCAGCATCAGGCCCGATTGGGCGGGAGATGCTGGACCAGGACAGCTTTTGACCGCGGGTGTGCCAGCCCCGATGCCGAATTCAACACCCCAGGAGCTGCATCCTAAGATGGGGATTTGAAGCAGGAGTCGACCCTCACGGCCTTCCAAGCGCGCCGCGCCACGCCCCCCCGCTGCCCTCGAGAGGCGCGCCCCCGAGGAACTCTCCCTGGGCCGCGTGGCGCCGCAGCGGCCCGCGGCTCAGGCCGTCGTGCGCAGTTCCTCCACCGGGACAGTGCCAGCCTCGCCCTGGGGCCTCCGCGAAGGGCGCGCGATGAGCCTGTCCTCCACCACCACCACCAGAAGTTGGAGGGAGGAAGGAGATGGAAGAGGAGGAGGAGGAGGAGGAGGAGGAGGAGGAGGAGGAGGAGGACCCCTCCCCCTCCAACTTATGGTGGTGGTGGTGGTGGAAAGCAGGCCCCTCAGCGCGAGCTCCCTCCCGAGGCGCGGCCCCGCCCGCGCCCCTCCGCCACTGCGGGCGGTGCTCGCCGCAGGAGGGGGGCGACGGCGCGCTGTCCCGGCAGGCGGCGAGGGGCTCCCTCGGAAGTGGGCCTCCGAGCCGAGGCGCCAAGTCGCCGCGGCGGGCCGGGTGGCGACCACGCCGTGCAAAAGGCGGTGGCGTCGAGAGGGGCGAAGAGTCAAAGGGGCGAGCACGACACGCGTTCGCCCAAAACCTCGCCGACGGCATGGGCCACCGACGCCCTTGGACACATGCACTTCGGACGGGGCTAGGACGAGGACAAATCCGTTCCAGAGCGTTCTGAGGTGATCCGTCGCCGGGGTGTCGGTGGAGCGAACCTCCCGCGTGCGAGGCGGGGATTTGTCCATATCCAGCGCCTGGGAACCGACGTCCCGGTGCCCCGGCGGGCGGTGGATATGGACATGGTTTGGCCCCCGGGGGCCCGAATATGTCCATGTCCACCGCCTGCCGAGGTCCCGAAAACTGATCCTCCAGGCGGTGATCGTGCATAAATTCCTGCCTCGGACCGCGGAAGCTGGGAAAACGCGGACGCGGCAAAAGCTGAGCGGGGCGCACGCTCGCTCCCGCTGCCCCATGCTGCTGCTGCTGCTGCTGCTGCTGCTGCTGCTGCTGCTGCTGTTCTTCCTCTTCCTTGAGAATGGCGATGAGCGGGGAAGGGAGAGAGAAGGGGGAGGGAGGGAGGGGGGAACTGGTCGGGGGCGCCACCGACCACGTCAACTGTGGCGCAGCAGCCGCGGGGCTCGTCGCTGGCGCGCTGCTCTGGCGCATAGGTTGAGCCAACTGGCTTTGGACCATGCGCCAATGCTGCGGAAACGCTCGCACCCTCACGCGCGACCAATAAGCTTAAGTCGGGCGTGTCCCCCTACAGGGGGATTTTGAGCAAAAAAACTAAGGACAAAAAAAACAAAAAATACTCAAACATATTTAAAACAAATCGTCCCCTGACTATTTGTTGACTATGTTTGAATATTCCCCCTGTGGAGGCACAGGCCCGACTTAGCAATAATCCCCCAACGCCCCGCGAAGGGCAACGCACTTTCGCAACCCCCGCGCGACCCACCCCTCGCGCTGATTGAGGGGTCTGAGATACATATGGAAACTTATGTCCTTCGCCTGCATGGCTACGGTTGGGAATTTGTGCTTACCGAGTCGCCGCGGTGGCCCCCGCGGCGCGCTGTGCCCTGCTAGCGGATAGCGTGTCGGTCCGCACCGCGGGGCGGGAGGCTGGGAACAGCTCGGGACATTGACTGACATCGGCGCTGCGGCGCCAGGAAGTGGCCAGCGTGTGTTGGCGGCGCGTACAAGGGGTAGGGGGAGGGGGGAAGGCTTCTTAGAAGCAGGGGTGCTTCTGAGAAGCCTTCCCCCTCTTCCTATAACCCCCATCTGCGCGCGGCCGAGTGCCGCACCGAATCGTGAGGGGCCAGAACTGGCCAGAAGTTCCCGACCATTGAAGGGGCCCTGAGACACACAAATAAATACACACAAATAAAAGGATCCCCCATATTTTCGCATATCTTCTGGGTTCCTGTCTTCCCCCCCTATTTTCCCATATTTTCCCATATTTTCTGGGAATCGACGATTCATTGTGTCTGTGTGTTTTTTCCCCTCCTGGACCATACCTCCCCTCTTTCGGCAACGCAGTAGGGCTGGGGGTCAGGTCTGCAGCACACCCCAAAAACGGACGTCAAAGGCCGCAACCAACCTGTTCGGTCAAGCGGAAACGGATGCACCACACCTGGCGTCAAGCCAACACTTTTAAAGGGAAAGTAGGACACACAAATAAATACACACAAATAAAAATAGTCCCCATATTTTCCCATATTTTCTGGGTTTTTGTCTTCCCCCCCAATTCCCATATTTTCCCATATTTTCCTGGGGATCGACGATTAATTGTGTCTGTGTGTTTTTTCCCCTCCTGATGAAACTGATGCACCACACCTGGCGTCAAGCCAACACTCTGGACATAAGCGAATGGTTTGATGCTGCACGTCTTCGTCGGCTTCACCGGCGAGTCGTCTGACCACCTCGACGTCCCCCTTTTGGTGGTCCTGCAGAGGAAGACGCTCTCGGATGACCTTCGGTCCTACTCAAGCCATGCCTCTCCTCTTTAATGTAGGACGGAAGAAACACAAGCTTTCGCCGGTCCGCGCGGACTTCTTGGATCCGCGCTGGACCCCACTCCCTGGCACGCGGAGCTGGCGTTTATTCTTATTCTCGGCGATGGACAAACCTCCCTTTAGTAAACCTCCCCTTAATGAAAACGGCCTGGGACCGAAACCGACGGACCTGGACTCGCAAAAATGACGGCCGCGACGCCCTCTCGCGAACCGAAATCGGCCAATTCTTTGATCGACGTGCCAGGGTAGGAGATCTATCGACCTCCGACATTCGACTCGTTCGGCAGCGCACGCCACGGCCGCCACCGAACAGCAGACCCGGCGGGAAAGGGCGCCGAGGGGCACGGCGTCCTTGCCGGGGGGGACCTCCAGCTCCCCCAGCAGCGGGTGCTTGAGGGCCACCCCGCCGTCGGCCATCTGCCGCCGCTCGTAGCGCGCCTCTTGGGCGGCGGGCCCCTGTCCGTCCTGCCCCCTCCCCCTCCGCCCCCTTTTCCCCTCATCCCTCCCCGCCCCCCCGTGCACCCCTCCTTAAGCACGGGCCGAACTCCAACTCGAGGCTGAGAAGTCTCCGCCTGCGTGCTGTTACGACGCTGTTCCGCTCTCCTCCTCGTCCAGCTCGAAAAGCGGCCGGATCGTTCCTCTTTTGCCCCCTCCTCCTCCTCCTCCTCCTCCTCCTCCTCCTCCTCCTCCTCCTCCTCCTCCTCTCCTCCTCCTCCTCCCTCCTCCTCCTCCTCCTCCTGCTCCTCCTCCTCCTCCTCCTCCTCCTCCTCCTCATCCCCCCCCCCATCCCCCCATTTCGGGGCGGCGGCTGGCAATGATTGTCATTCTGGGTGTGCTGGTCGATCTGCGAAGAACGGCCTCCAGGACATCCCCTCGCCCTGGTCTGCGACCCGATAACTCTCCGGGAACACATGCCGTGGCGTCGCTCCGCTGCGCGGCCTTGCTCGGCGGCGCACCGCGCAGAAGTGCGCGACGCGCCGTGCCCGCGCCGTGTCAGGCCCGAAGCACACGCAGGTCAATTGCCACTTCGGATGCACGGCTCGGGGGCGGCGTCCGTGTGTGCAGTTTGCCGCGGAGCGGGCCGTGCGAGCGTCGGCGATGGCCGGGGGGGCCGGCGTCGCAGGCGACGGGGAGGGGCAGGCGGCGGCACGGGGGCCCAGGGAGTCGGCTGCGGCTCGCCACGCCTGGCCGCGGCGGCGGATGCCCCCGAAAATGGGAGGGTGCCGCGGCAGCGTCTGCGGATGGGGGGGGGCGCTGGCCCAATCCCGTCCGTGGATGACGGCCTCCAGGACTCTAGAGAGCTCTGCTGTTGCCTACCCTGGCGCCGTCCACCTTGTGATCTGCGGCCGTGGTTGGGTGCTGATCGGGCTCTCGTCTGCCCCTTTTGCTTCACCATCGTGCAGTGGATGTTTCTCCAGACCTGCGTTTCGTGGCCTTGGACTTCAATCCCACCAGCCCTCTGGGCGCAGGTGGTCTAACGATGTCTTTCCTCTTCAAACAACCCTTTTTCCCTTTCGGGGGGGGGTAACAATGTTCCCTATTAATATATACCCCCTCCCCCAGGCGACGGGGGGCCAACCAGGGTCAATGCGGCCCCCCCCCACCATCGCTTGTAAAAAACAATACCAAACACACTATGCCTCCAAATTCGAAGCATGCGCAGCGAACCCGATGCCGCCTCCCCCCACCATCCCTGTCAAAAAAACAATACACAATACACTTGGCGGCTGCGGCGGCCGCGGCGGCTGCGGCGGGGGCAGCGGCTGCGGCGGCTGCGGCGGTGGCGGCGGCGGTGGCGGCGGCGGAGGCGGCGGGGGCGGCGGCGGCGGCGGCGGCGGTGGCGGGCGGCGGCGACAGCGGTGGCGGCAGCGGCTGCGGCGGCAACGGCTGCGGCGCGGCGATTCGGCAGCGGGGGCGGCGGCGGCGGCGGCGGCGGCGGCGGCGGCAGCGGGCAGGGCGGCGGCGGCGGCGGACGGCGGCGGCGGGCGGCGCGGCGGCGGCGGCGGCGGGGGCAGCGGCTGCGGCGGCTGCGGCGGTGGCGGCGGTGGCGGCGGCGGCGGCGGCGGGCAGGGCGGCGGCGGCGGCGGACGGCGGCGGCGGGCGGCGCGGCGGCGGCGGCGGCGGCAGCGGCTGCGGCGGCGGCGGTGGCGGCGGCGGTGGCGGCGGCGGCGGCGGGGGCGGCGGCGGCGGCGGCGGCGGCGGCGGCGGCGGCGCGGCGGCGGCGGCGGGCGGCGGCGGCAGCGGAGACGGCGGCGGCGGCGGCGGATTCGCCCCCAGTAGCTGCCCATCCAACGACGACTGCTGAATATGCTGCGGGTCGGGCCAGGCTCGAGGGCTACGTATGTGTTGGGAGGGCGGGTGGGAGTGAGCGAGACGGCTTGCGGGCGGGGAGGGAGTCTTGACCCCTTCCCCTACCCCCTCCCCTGGTCCTGGACGGGGGGTCCGCGAGCGGTCAGGGCGTCCAAGATAGCCTGAGATGACTCCAAGAGGACATAAAAAAAACCAAGATGGCCTCCAAGATCGCACAAGATAGCCCAGCATGGCTGAAGATAGCCAATAACGTGCCTCCAAAAGGCCCCCACGAAGGCCACAAAACAGTTCCAAATGCTTGTGGCCCAAATCCTTCAACAACCGTTAGAGAATCACTGATGTTTGCATTCTCGCCTTTTCTCCGATGCGCTTTTGAGGCCTCAAGATGGCCCCGAGATGGCCAAAATGTAGATCCAAGAAGGGCCCAAGAGGCCCCCAAGACGGCCCCAAGAGCGCCCAAGATCACCCCAGGAGGGCCCCAAGAGCGCCCCAAGAGACTATTTCGATGGCCCTCCTTTGATGGATGGTCTCCAAGATGGCCACAGGAGGCGCTTCATAGCTCCCGAACGGACCCCAAGAGAGCCCCACGAGAGCCCCACGAGGGCCCATGAGGGCCCCAAGGCGCGCC